GCAGGCAAAAGTCTAAGTTGCAACGTAGAAAGAAAGGACGAATCAGAGACTGAGATGAGGGACTGACACGCCCCACAGGGAATAAAAGTGGGTGTGTTCGCTCTGAGAACTTGTTCGGGACAACGTGTTAATTTGTGAGAGAAGCTTCAGAAGATTCTGTGTGTGGCGATAGCTTGTGATTTATGTTCCTGCTTTATTGTCGAACTTGGCAGACAGCTTGTGTGAGACTGCCAAGAACTTTCTCGGCTCAAGGAATTTAACCCTGTCAATACTGGAATTGTTTGCTTGTTTATATTCATTTGGAAATTTGGACTTCTCACCTCGTTTGCACAGGTGAGACATAACACATATATGTGCGTGCACCAGCCAGCTGCTCACATGGCCCAGTGGCCAATAGGCCGTGGCCCAGTAGTTGGTGTGGCCCACAGGTTGGGGATCTCTGGTCTACATAGAAAGTAGCATGATCTTGTATGATACAAATCCGTACATTAAATTATAGTTCAGGTCTGACTGACTTTCCGTTGGATGGACTTGCTTCAAATCACACCTGTCGGCAGCACACCTGTCTCAATCATGCTTACCTGACTTTTGAATTTTTCCTGGCCCATTTTCAACAAAACGAAGATGTAGGTCATGCCCCCCATGGGGATATTCCTTCCTTCCAGTAAAGCCACAGTAACTGTTCCATTCCACAACTGGTTTTTTTGCAGCGTGTCCACCAGCCTGCTGGTTCTCATGAAGCTTGCCTAAAATTGGGGAAAAAATAAAAATACAATTTGAGAAGCTGAAAGCAGGAGTATGTCACTGAAGGCTCAAGGCGGGATTGCACAACCATTTGTCTGAAATGGTACAGGGTTTCCTGCCTAAGCAGGGGTTGGGCTAGAAGACCTCCAAGGTCCCTTCCAACTCTGTTATTCAAATTTGATCGACTGGTTGATCATGGCAACTGGACTAAATGAAAAGAAGGAGTATACAGCCTCACCAAGAGGAACAACCAAATTATTCTGTTTGTACCCTGTAGATATTCCTCCATTCATTCATCTACAAACTGTTCCATCTAGTTTCTGTGCTTATTGATATACAGTATTTAAAGGGGAAAAAAACATTAAAAGGTACGTTTATTTTGTCTCTGAATGTGACTTTTCTCCTGGACGCTCCCTCAGGCATGAGGTTTAGAGGTCAGCGGTGCCCATCGTTGTGAGTTTGTGCTTCCTGATTTGTCCTCAGCTGTCATTATTCTTATTACCCTTGGTTGGTTTGGTTTAAATGCTATGTACGCTACAGCTCACGATTGTGAGATAGGTGACTGCATAAGCTGATTACATAAATACATGGATTTTTTTAAAAAATGTTCTGAATTACTTAAGTATTCCACAGCATCTTTCCAACATCTCAAAGCTGACTTTTTAAGGTTTTTTTATCATCTCTTTTGAACATTGCCCTTAGAGAGGGCTGTAAAGGCACTGTAAAGCGGTGTATAAGTTTAACAACTGAATGAAAAACTGCTGGTGACCTTCTACTCCTGTACCATATAGAGTATCTTAACTTACTTGAATTCTACTGTATAGCGCAATATTAATGCAATATCAGGGGGTTTTCAATTCAATTGCATGGAATACGAAAGATATGCGTTTATTTTCATAGTCATAATGTACACTGAAGATGGTATTAAATTTTGTTGTATGAGGTGCAATGACAATAAAGTAAACTATAAAAAAAACCGGTATGTAGACCAGAGGTGGTATGTTCCGCAGGTTCTGACCAGTTCTGGAGAACCGGTAGCGGAAATTTTGAGTAGTTTGGAGAACCGGCAAATATTACCTGACTGGAGAGTTTACAGCATCCTTCCCCTGCCACGCTCACCAAGCCACGGCCACAGAAAAGGTAGTAAAAAAATTTGAATGCCACCACTGATGTAGTCATTGTTTATCTCTACGTGCCTGTTGGTGGCCAATGTGTTTGAGTGCCAGGCTTCCAGGAATTCTCTTAGCGTTTTTGGACTTCGTTTGGTCCAGAAGGGAGTTTGTTGCTAAGTTCCCTAGCAACCCCTCCCTTCTAAAGCATCCTTCCTTGTTTTCAGATCTCCACTAAGCTTTTTATAAAACCACATTAGCTTCTTCTACTACCTTTTCCCTCCCCCACCTTAGAATTGTTTGCCAAACTCTCCCACTTCAAGCTCCTTTTTGCAGTAGCTTCTCCTGCCCTGCAATTCCGCTTATCGCTGCTCTGAGATTAAAACCCTTCTTATTAACAGGGAGGATACTCGGAGGAATAGCTGCAAATAGAGGCTGGACCATTTATTTATTTACAGAGCTGGTAGGCCACACCAATCTCCCAACACTGAACAGCCTACAAGCCTCTGATGTATAATTAGTTTTAAGCCATATAGTCAGTGGAAAAAAAACAAACCAACCAACCAACTACTACATAATGTTCTTATGGAACTGGGAATCCTGAATGGATGCGTTAACAATAACAATAAAAGACTCAATCTCGTGACCCAAGAGGAAGTGACAACAAAGCAATTCACCCGGATTTGATGGAACAACCAGGTTGTCCCCAATTTCCTAAAAGGCAGAGGAGGGAAAAGTGTGGTCACATATGGGGGAGGAAGAGCACAATTTCAGAGGAACTGAAGAGGTACACTTGTGGCAATTCCCCAGTCGAGGTAAACTTGCTGGACAGACAGATGTTACTGGGAGAAAGTGGTCGCTGAGATACCCAAAAGATGAAAAGCTTAAAAGTGACAAGCAATACCTTGAATTGCACCTAGAAGCCAATTGGCCACCAACAGCAGCTGTTGATACAGACGTGATATGCAAGAGCCTTGAGATGCGCCCACCATTGCTTGAGCCCCTGCGCTCTAATCAGTTGTAGCTTTCAAACAAATCTTCAAAGGCAGCCCCTTGAAGAGCGTATTGCAATAGTCCAACTGGGAAATGACTAAGAGAGATGACCAAACAACAAAGACTGGGAGCTAAACTTAGGATGAACTTTAAGGAGTTCATCAAGGAGAGAAGCAACCTGGAATTCAGGAGAAACAGGGAGGACAATTGACCAGTGGAACAGCTTGCCTTCAGAAGTTGAGGGTGCTTCATCATTGGAGGTTTCTAAGAAGAGCCTGGAATGGGACAGGATCTCCTCCTTGAGCAGGGGGCTGGATTGGAAGACCTCCAAGGTCCCTTCCAGCTCTATTCTGATTCTAAGGAACCAGCCTATTGAAGAGAAGGATTAGGGGTGACATGAGAGCTGTCTTCCAGTACTTGAGGGGGTGTCACAGAGAAGAGAGGACTGACTTATTTTCTGAGGCACCCGAAGTAGGACAAGAAGTAATGGGTTGGAAGCTAGTACGAGGGAGATCTGCCTAGAGGAGAACTAAAGAGAAGTTCCCTGACAGTGAAAACAATTAATCAGTGGACTAGCTTACCTTCAGAAGTTGTGGGTGCCTCCATCACAGGAGGTTTTCCAGAAGGGATTGCACAACCATTTGTTGCATGATGGAATTAGGTCTCCTGCCTGGAGGGTTGAACTAGAAGACCTTCAAGGTCCCTTCCAGCCCTATAACTCAATGAGTGACCGTGAGCAATCTCAGCTGTTCCAAGACAGGTCACATTGGATGCAGAAGATGGAACAGGGCAAAGGCCCCCTTGGCCCCCAGGAGCAGGAGGGACGAGTCTAAGAGCATCTCGAAACATGACCCAGCTCTCTCCGGAGGAAGTCGTAGCCCAGTTCGGAGTGAATAAAGGGCATCTCCCTGGAATTGACAAACCTGTAACTTTGAATGGTCATCAAACAAACT